CACAGAGCCCAGTCACCCGCTGATCACCCTTTCCACTTGCTGGATGCTGCCTCCCACGCAGCGGCTCCTCCTTCTCCATGGTGTTTCTTCTTGCATCATGCCACTTTATGATCGAGTGTGCTTTAAAATCACAGCCAGGGCACTTTGCACCTTGCTGGGACGAGGACCGGTTATGTGACCTGAGCCAAGCGCCTGCTCCATCACTCCCTCCTGCATCCCACCAGTGAGGTTTCCACTCAGGTTCAGCGGGCCCAGGCAAAACCCCTTTGTAATGACTTTGGAGTGGCTCATGCCCGCTCTCGATCACACAAGAGAAGCTCCCTGCCAGCCAACACGGCACAGATAAGCCTTAGAAAGTTTTGTGTTGTCTTCCAAAATATTTTTAGAACTGCCTCTTTGGCTGCCTTACTACAGGAGCTGCAATTTGGTAGCCAGGCCCCTTCACTAGCACTGGGAACAGACACTCTCCAGATGGTGGCTGTGAGCCACAGGGCTTGTAGACAGCCAAGATCAAGGGATAGTCCCACAGCCTGCCCAAGAACATGGAGTTTAGGGTTGGGAAGAGACCAGAGACACTGCCTGAAAACCCAGACGGTCCCGAAGCACATAATGTGTTGTGATGGAGAGATGCCACAATCACCCCTTTTGGGATCTTGGACACTCAGATTTGTACGTGTCCCACCTTACTCTTTAATGCTAGAGCCCATGGCTGGAGGGCACCCAGCAGAGAGCTCCCCAAGAGTGGCCCAGCCACACACACACTTGCACACACGTACACCCCGCACGCAGGCCAAGCAGCCCGCATCTCTGCAGAGCTGCCTTGCCCACATGGACAGCCGCGGTCAGGCACCCCCTCCAGACCCTCTGCCTGGGCACCTGTGTCGTACCAGTGAGACAGATTGCAGGAAAGCAAGAGATGTGGCAGTCTTGTCACCTGACTGAACTAGCTGCCCTGGGCTATTTGCATTTCTATAGATTTGGTTGCTAACTAGGTTCTCAGGCTTTTTATGTTGTTGCTATTTTAGTACGTCTGAAACGTGCAGGAAAAGGAATCTGGAGGCTCTGTCTCCTGCAGAGACAATGTTTGTGCTGACCCAGCTTGGGACATTGCAGAGCAAAAGCCACGTTGTCTCTGCCTCTGATTTTGGGAGACAGCTCAGCTCCCACTTTTATCTGCGTGTATGGCCAGAGTGAAAGCCTCCTGCCTTCAAGCAAGACAGGACTAAGCAGCAAGGCTACGTCGACACATCACTGTAGCTATGCTTCCAGCTCAGCTGTGGGGCAGAAGCAGCTCCGTCAAGGTTCACCAGCGCAAAGGAAGATATTTGGGTGTTTTTACCCCCAATATACCTATTTGCTTAGATTAAAGCTCTTTAAGTGCTTCCATTGTGCTTGGCACCGTGTCTTTCTCTTGTCCCAGATCAGTAGGTCACCCACAAACAGTGTGAACCCAGTTTCCGGGGGGACAAGATGACCCCAGCACAAACTGCCACTGTCCCAAACAACCTCTTGGCAGCAGCCCCAGCCACAAAGCTAAGCAGATGGGAGATGCTCCCGACACCCAGGCAGGGGAGGCATGCCTGGGGCAGTGCTTCAGACAGGCTCCACACACAGATTTTTCTCCCAAGACAACACTCTTGGGCGAGGCTGAAGTTGGTTCTGCCTTACTATGTATTAAAAACAGCATTCATCAAATGACCTTTCTGTGCTTTGAGGGCATCTGCAGAGGCCAAATTGAACATTTGAGCCCATCTGACTGCACATCTCCACCAAGCTGGTCCTGTGACCTGGGCCTTTTATCATAGCCCAGAGTTCATGGGCTGAACTTCACCCTCTGCATTCAGTCCTGCCCTAGAGCCATGCACTGAGGGAAGCCGTTAAAGGCAGCACACTGGATTGCACAGCCTCCACTCTCCAAATACAGAGGAGGTGCTAAGAGGTGTCAGAAGCAGCCTGTTTGCCGCAGTCTGCCTCTACTTGGGTCAGCAGAGGCAAATGCAATAAAGACTTCCCCGAGCAGGATAGGAAGCTGCAGACACAGCAGCCCCTGAACACAGACTTGCTCCTCACCTGGAAAAAACAGCCTTGGGAAGAGCTGTCCGGGCAGGAGCGCGACCTGAGCTAAGCCTCTGCAGCAGGCAGAGCCCAGCGACACTCCTAGGAGGATTCTCTAGCAGGAGGGCTGGCCCCCGCATGGGTCGCTTACCTTGTTCTCCGTAGGAGCTGATGCCGGATGTTGCTGCTTAGTGATGTTCTCAGCCAGACACCAGCAGATCCTCTTCTTCTGCTCCTGGGAGTAAGCCTCCAAACTTAATAAGCACTCCGACTTCTGACGTAAAGGAAACACAGGCAGAGAGAAGGTCATTAGCAGTGTGTCACAGGCCCCAGCTTTGTTTGCAAACTACTTGCTTCCAACACACTGTATCAGATGAACATAAGTATAACAGGAGTGCTCTGGGCATGGGAAAGCAAAACGCATGGGTATTTAGCTTCAAAGTGGCACCTCCTCCAGGTACAGGGCGACAGGCTGCTGTGAGGCAGAGCAGCAGCTTTTTGCTCTAATAAGTGGAAGCAGAGAGGTAAGATACAGCCAGAACACCAGCAACGCTGCACCCTGTGACACCACAGTGGAAATGTGTCTATTAAGCTAATCTAGAGGGTGGAAATTGCTCTTTGCTGTACGCAAACATTAATGAGAAGCCACAGGATGAACCGATGAAAACAAGTGCCTTTGGGCTGGGAGGACCGCAAAGCTCAGGAGAAGCAATGGCATCAGCTTTGCACAAATGGGCCAGACTCTCCCTTTCTGCCCCTTTACTGAGGCAGACACAGCAGGGGTCATTTTGAAAATGATGCTCTAGCTCCAATCATGCACGATGAGCAATGCACAGTGAGGAAGAAATTAAGGAAAATGATAGAAACTCATCCCAGCTAAGTCTGTCTCAAGCCCACTCTGGCCTGGTCACCTACCCTCACGCCCTGTTCCCTTCTCTACTCATACACACTTTCTATATGGACCTCTTCCTCTTTAACATGTTTTTTTTGGCCAAATCTCACCCATTTAAAAAACCCTCTGACAAAATTCCCTCAGCCAATGTCTCCCAGCCCCTGAACTGCTCATTTCTTGTACTAAAAATGAAGTACGAGTTGATGCTTGTTGGGATTTTGGGGGTTTCTCTTTAAAAAGAGTCCAGAAATGCTCGTGGCCGGATTACCTCATTCTGTGGCTAGTTGTGAAAAATAGTGGAAGTTTAAGGCAGAACTGTGAAGAAAAGAAAAGAATCTTGCACTAAAAAGGCATTAAAAAGGCTTTTCATTTCCCCCTAGGATTTCCTTCCAGAAGGGCAGGTCTTGTCTAGCCAATTTTTCCCAGAAAGGTCAACAAGAACTAGGGAACTTGCAGTTTTGTGACTCAGGAGACATCACACAGCCACAAGGGGAAATGCCTTTTAGTCACATCATTTTTTTTTCCCCCCACTGCATGCTAATTCATTCATGTTTAATCCACAAACCCTACCAAAGAGGTAAATAAACCAACCTCACATGTTAGCTATAGAGAAAGAGATGCTCTAGTCCAGTTGTTTGCCCCTCCAAGGACACTTATAGGCAAGATAACAGTTGATATTTCTGATATCAGTACACCACCACATCTATTCCTACAGTAGAAACAGGCTTAAACACTGAAAATGCATATTCAGGCTTACTTATACATCATCAACTTTAAACAGTAGCTCATGATTCAGGGACACAAGGTGGTGGGGTATTCTCCTCACCCCACCAATACTAGGTTGGGGTGATGCTCTGAGCGTATCCAGAGGAACATCGAGCTCTTTCCACCCCAGATTTCCCCATCTCTCCAGTTCCCCAGGCAAGCCGTACACCAGGCTGCACCACGCTGACACCCGCTTGTTCCTAGGAAGCTACGTAAGCGTTCTGATTTTCGGAAGACCATCTGCCTTGCTGGAAATCTGGGGTGGCATTTCCCTGCCCTGCACTCTGGGCAGAAGCGAACAATTCAAAGGACTCAGCCAAGCCTAAAAGACATCAGTGCAGCCGAGAGAGTCCAGTGACCACAGCGAAGCTGTAACTAATGCCCGCTCTGGTCCATATCGAGCTCCTGCAATTCCCCTGGTGCGAGGCTTAAAGCGATTCCAAGGGCGTTTCATATCCCCTTTATTGTGACTGATGCACGACTCACCTAATCCTGCCGTGCAGCCCCTGGCTGATTCGATTACAGTCCTCATCTCTTTGATTGAATTTGGCAAGCGATGCTCAGCCCCCACCAGCTGCTCAGAGAGAAGTACCCCTCTCCCTCCCCGCTCAGCCGCACCAAGCTGCCAAGGCTGCCCAGGCACAGCTGCCTGGGGAATATGAAAGCCATGAAAAGAGACTGCCCTCTGATCCAAGAAGCCAGAGGGGAGAGTCAGTTGTCCCATTTGTTTCAAACTATTTCTCTCTTGTCTAACCGGGGAGCCCGTGCTGATGCATCTCCTGGGCGTTGCAGGCAGGGCTGAGGGGTGACAGGAACTGCATTTGTCCAAACCTCTCAACCGCAGCATATTTTACATTCATTTCTACACTGTGGCAGCAAGATCTTGACACCTTGTTCCTTTACGGCAGTACTAAAACCTCCCCAATTCGCAATTCCCAGGGGAAGGGTCCTGTTTCTGCCTCCTCCATCAATGTGCTCCCCCCAAATAGTGTGCAACGCAGAGTTGGCTGCAGCAAACCATGAGAAGGGGCAGCCCAATCCGTGGAGGCTGAGCACCCCGGTCTGCCTCAAAAGCACAGGCTCCTGCTTGCAAAGTACATTGGGATCAAGCCAGATGGAGGACAGATAAGCGAAGGATAGACCGTTACGTGGCATAAAGCACTACCTACGGTGTGCATCCCCGGAGCCCAGTCCCTGCCAGGAGACCAAACTGCCGAGGCTTTGCCAGCCAGCTGCCAAGCTGAGGACGTGTACATAACGGAGAGGCCGGAGCAGCGGAAGTCAGCTAGTCCTGGAGCTGCAATGTGTCGCGCACAAGCCTCCATGCACCACGGCCTTGGTCAGGGCCCGCTCTGGGAACCAGCCTCCCTGCTATTGTTTTCATTCAGGGAGGCTGCCGCTTTCCCTGCCAATATTTACAAAGAGAAAACACGGTTTAATCTCGTAGTGCTGGGAAAGGAGGATGCAGATGGCGTGAAGGGGGCGTTTGCTACCAGATAAAGCGAACGACTGAAGTGACTGCCAGTAGCTTTCTAACTGCATTCAGCCCAGCGTTTCAAAAAACATGTTATTGCAGGTGTTGCGTGCCGGCTGGCGCGGAAGCCTCCCCGGCGAGATCGCGGCTCCCCGGGCTGCGCCGGACCCCACGTTGGCACTGGGCACGGCCAAAGCAGGAGGAAAACACAAGGTGCCTATCGCAGAGGAGGGCCCAGCTTAGCTAACACAGACCCCAAATGGTCCCTGCCAAGGCCAGAGACTACTCAAAGGAAAAGGTCCCTTTTGCTACATGGGAATAGCTCCCACCTGCAGATGCTTCCCTGGGCTGAGCCCCAGCCCTGTAGTCTGCAGAGAGATGACAGACTCAGGATCTGGCCAAAGAGAGCTCCTGGTTACTCTGGCAGACACCAATCCAAGAGGCACCGTTGGCTCCCTGGCACAGAGATCAGTGGAGGACACCCAGGAGAACATCACCTCATTGCAGGAGGGATCAGCAAGACCCGAGGGCCCACAGAGCGGGCAATGCTGCAGGTATGTCCCTCTTTGTGTTTGGTCTGTGCAGGACCCATCACAACAGTACCTGGAACATGAGCTTGGCTCTACCCATTACTGCAAAGCAGAGATAGAATAATAACGAACCAAACTCACCCTGAAACCTTCAGAGCCTTGAAGTCCACGACTAACCGAACTTGGGGACTATTCTCATCTCACTGTCACAACCTTCTCTGGCCTGTGCTACAATATGCACTCACAGAGGTGCAGAGAGGTGACCAGTTCTCTGGGGTGGAGGCTGCTACAAGCAGATCAGGGGGACGCAGTTCTGCTCCCCCCATGACTCCTTTCCTACCTGCCTCAGCAGTGCTGCCAGCCTGGGTGGCAGCGGAGCATCAATAACAACCATATGGGTAAAGCCAGGCTCTGCACACAAGCGTGAATCAGCCCAAACGAAGATGAAGTTTGCCAGCAGCTCTGTCCCGCAGGGCCCTGAGTGAGCACAGACTCTCACTATTAGGCTCTGCTGGGTTTACAGCACCATGGTACAGGGACACAGCTCCCAACCCAGCTCAGCTCAGCCCGCCTCCTGGCCTCAAATGTTCAGAGCATTGGTTTCAATCCAATCCTAGCAGAGATCCCAGAGGGGAAGTACCTCGGAAACGGACTCCAGACTACAATAGCTTTTAAATTGTAGAGCAAGCCTTCCACCGGTGAAACAGCAAGCCCTGGGAATATCCTGTCCACAAAACATGGGCAACTGCTGGCAGGTTATGTCATGACCCACAGAGCTAAGTCTGATGAGAAAGTTCAGTTTGCTCCCGTGCTAAGCTGTGCTGGGAGGGGCAGGGGGGCACTACTTCTCTTCCTGTGGGCACATTGGTGATGCCCAAAAAACAAACACTGGCGGTAGCAGCACAGGCCCTATTCAAAGGCTGGGATGACCGAATGTAGCAGTATCTAATGGGCACCGGAGCAGAAGATCTGCACAGAGCTGCCAGTCGCTGGGCACAGCAATCTCTGCAGAGAAGTGCGGCTCGTTGCTGTGTGGCTTATGCCTGGCCAGGAACACTCTAGAAGTGAAGGAAAAGGAGGGATGTGCCTTCCTCCCTTGTGATACCAAGGCCTGGCTCTTGGGACATGGGTTTTCCATTATCCTACAGACACCCATGAACAGGGAGAGGCACCAATGTAGCGAGATGGACCTGACACTTCATGTTGCAGGGTCTTCCCAACCCCATCTCACCCCAGCTCAGTCAGACTCTGTTGCACTGAGAAATGCTGCTGCCAAGGAAGGCGAGGAGGGAAGAGCAGTGCCACAGGGGCAGTGCACAATGGCAAGGCACAGTCAGGAGAGCAGGACATGTGCTAAGCATCCAAGAGGGAAATATGACCTGAAGAAGCTTTTTCACCTCTTTTTGGAGCAGCCGACAAGGACACAGGGCTCAGTCTGTCTTTACAGGCCAGCAAGGTGTCTCTAATTAGCTTATTAGATGACAAGCATTTATGGGAAACCCCCAGCTCTGAGACTAGCCAGATACAGAGCTCCCATTGCAAACATCATTCTGGCAAACAGAAAGCAGGTCCACCGCTTTCCCGTTTTGCAAATGCCCTTTCCTCTCAGGCAA